TTTTGGCTGCAAGATGAAAGTGGACTACAGGAGATCCATGGATTCTGACAGGTGACGCAAATTCCTAGATCAGACATAGAAGATTTGTATCACTCATGACACAGCAAGAAGTATCACTTTCGTGTTTATAATGCTTCCCCTGAACCACCATCCTCAAGTTATATGGGGCAATGCGCAAGCAACTTAATTAAATTCTGCAAATATAGTGAGTTTACATACTGAAAAAAGGTCTAGAGCTTAGAAACTCCAGGTCTTATAAGACATATGCCAGGAAATCTGCCCAACAATTGCAGTAGAAGAAGACATTATCAATACTCTCTTGATGGAAAAAAAAAAAATCTGCCCTCTGCCCCAGTCTATATTACTTCTGTCTTCCAAGGCTATTAGCTATGGAGCAGGGATGTGGCTCAGTGATAGAGTGCTTGCCTGGTATGTGGGAGGCCCTGAGTTCAATCCCCAATACCACAAAAAGAAAAAGAAAATGTTTAAGCCAAGGGTTATACTATACAAATACCCTTAAAAAATAAAATATTGAACAAAAGCATATGTATGTTATGAAGAAATGCCTCTATCTAAAATAGTGTAGGCCTTAGAAAAATTGTGGACAAAGTCTTACAAATTAAAAAGGGAAAGACACATTTATGTGTGTGTGTTTGTGTGTGTGCATGTGTGTGTGTGTGTGTGTGTGTGTGTGTTTCATTACTTCTGTTATTACGTTAACAAGAAATGGCTGTTTTTGCTAATGATATTGATACATATTAATAATAGATATAGATCAGTTTCTGAAGCAGTAATATAAAAAAGTGAAATTCTCTCAGGAGGTTAGCTCTAGTAGTTTTTAAGCAATTATACATAGCCTATTATTTAAAGTGAAAATTAAATTTTAGGCACTATTTTTGACAATTTTCACCTTTTTAAACCAAATATAATTATGAAATTAATGATGCATGTATGTTTGAAATGATTTTTGAAACATGTTTGAAAACTTTGCATTTTTGCATTTAGATTTTAATGATCTAAATATTACCTCAAAAACATTTTGAACTCTAAGTAGATTTAAATTATATAAAATTGATTATTTTAAGAAAAAAATTTCTAATACCATTTGTCTTAGGTAGTTTGTCTCTACTTGAAGTCATGCTCTTCTTTAATGTAGATGTAATTATTCAAAAGTAACTCTAATTTCATTCTTGCATATGGATATCCTTGATCATTCCTTAAAACTTTCTTGGGATATTTGATAAAACGGTATTTGATAAAATGGGAGGGTCAAGCTTTATAGTTGGTGAGATTGTTACCAGAACATTTCCATTTGGATTTTGCAATCCTAACACAATGAAACAACAATTTTCCCTTAGTATTTCCTTGAAGTAAAACTATAGGCTATAGAAAATATTTTTTCATATTTTTATTGGTGCAGTACASTTGTACATAATTTTGGAATTTGTCATTTCATATTTGTACATGTACACAATATAGCAATATAATTTGGTCAATATCAATCCTCACTATCTCTCCTTTTGAGACTGTARAAAATACAAAAGCTGAATGTAGGTGGGATTAAAGTGGATAACATCTGAAATTAGGTTTCTTCTGTAACTAGAAATTTTTTAATTGAAATACTATTCACTATTAAGATATTCATTTACCTTTAAATGCTATAATTTTATTCTCTTTTAATGCTGAGTAATATTCCATTGTGTATATATACTGCAGTTTATTTATGCTTTCATCTATTGAAGAGCATCTAGGTTGCTTCCACAGTTTATCTATTGTTAACTGAGCTGCTATAAACATTGATGTGGCTACATTATTCATGCTGATTTTAAGTCCTTCCGGTATACACTAAGAAGTGGGATAGCTGGGTCAAATGGTGGTTTCATTCCAAGTTTTCTAAGGAATTTCCATACTTATTTTGAAATTGGTTGCACAAATCTGCAATCCTACCAGCAATGTATGAGTGTGCCTCAGGAAGAGACACATCAAGGAAAGAAAATTTCAGACCAATTTCCCTGAACATTGATGGAAAAATTCTCAATAAAATTCTATTTTTATGTTTCTGTCATTTCTTTTTTTCTAATATATTTAATTTATTAWTTTTTATGTGGTGCTGAGGATTGAACCCAGTGCCTCACATGTATGAGGGAAGCACTCTACAGCTGAGCTACAACCCCAGCCCTGTTGTTTTTTGTCATTTCTTATGTGCAGTATCTCTCTCCCTCACTCCTCCCTCCTCASCCCCACCCTCTTTCTCAAGCACACATACAAACTACTTACTTTCAAGTTATATTGGAGAAATGGCATCATACAGAAATTGCTACTTCAGTGTYTTGTTACTGAGAATGAACAAGAAGAAAATATTATTGTCATTCCATACATCCAGTGTCAGCTTAACTGAAGGGACAGAAGATACATGGGTCACCTTTGTTCTAACTATTTCATTTACTAATGAAAAGTGATTCCTTTTTTGCCTTTCATCAGAGTACGGTTTGGTTACAGTAGCTTTCTCTTGAAATCCCTGTGGATCCACTTGCCTTGTGTCCTGCTAGGCCATCTCTGTAGCACTTTCCTGCAGACATGGCTCAAAAGTCACATCCCCTCTTCCCCTCCTGCCTGCAGGGAAGACACAGAAGTTCAGGGAATGTTATGCAAAGGGTTCTGGAAATGCCGTGTATGTTTGCCTTGCCATTACTTCTTATTGAGGTGTGTGTAAGATTTATGACATTCCATCAGACTAAACCAGTTATCAGAAATRAAACTTAAAGCCATTTGAACAGGGATAGAAAGATTGACTTCTTCTTTTCCTAACAATAAACCAGTTAGATATAATTCAAAACCTTTTAAAACCCATGAAACATAAAATCATTTTCATTAACCATTRCCACTCATTCTCTTCTCTTTCAAGACTATTTAAACCATGCAAAGAGAACAGTAGGATAGTAAYACTGTGAGTAAATCTCAATTAAATAAAMTTTTATCATTTGATTAGAGAACATGGAATATATGAAGGAGAAACACTGCATGCATTTAAAGATATTATCTTTTTTATACTTTACCATTTTATTTTTAATTAATTTTTTATTTATATATGACAGTGGAATGCATTACAATTCTTATTACACATATAGAGCACAATTTTTCATRTCACTAAAGAGATAATCTTGATTAACTTAATACTTCCTTGAACCTTTAACTGTTCCTGTTTTCCTATTACTTGCAGCCCAGYAAAGTAAATACATAGTAAAAGTTATGTCAAAGTTTCTGTGATTGCTTTTTCTTTTCTTTTCTTTTTTTTTTTTAACTTTAACTCTCAGTGTACTCATCTATATGATGGAGGTTGTAAAATTCATGGTCCTACCTAAGGTTGTCAAAACGATAAATTGAAAGATGAATGAAAATCCTTTCAAAAGCAAAACTACAAACCCAAMGAAACAGAGGAGTTTTTTCACTTCTCCTGGCAGGTGGGATCCACACAAGCTGTACACCTCTGCAACAAGGACCATGTTGCAACTTAATGGCAGGCTGTGCCCTCTAGTGTCACAGCAACTCACTGCCATCTTCGTCTTTCTGGATTCTTGTCTTACAAAATCAAAGATGAGGATRAGTGAGTTTAAGAGTAGGATTTATTCAGGGTCAATAGAAACAGAACTTGCCACAGGGCAAATGGGACCCAAGATGGGGTTGCTACTCGAGTGTGCTGTCTAGTGGTTTATATAGCACTTGGGTCAACCTATGGATCCAAATTTATGCTAACCAGGGTTTGAAAAAGTACTCACACTATCAGTTAGCTCAGAAATCCCATCTAGGTCTGCTACACTTCCATTTTCCCACTGCTGGTTAAGGTTGTGAGGTCATGGCTGCTGGGGGGATTTTGAGCTGCAGCATTATATAGAGCAGTCCTCCAGTGGGTGTCCCCAGGCTGGGTAGGGCTCCCACGGAGGGGGGGGTGAAGGTCAGTGCATCCTGGCTCCCTGCACCTAAGGGTGGTGCATGCATGATGGGCTCTGAGCAGCYCTTGCTGTCAGTGCTGGAGACCCCTGGGGCATCCTCTCTGCAGCTTCACCTCTGCTTCTCTGCAAGATTAGTGGGCTGGGTACCTGGCYGGGGAACCATGTCACCAACACAAAGTGGTATTGGATTGTTGTGGTGGTTATTTAGTGATAGCTATTTTAAAATAAATCTTTATGATTCTTAGTAGAATAAGTATTGTCAGATAAACTTAAAATTTCTCATTTTCAGAGATGGCTGCTAGGTGTACAATTGTTTCTCTATTTTTTGAGACTATTTGCTTGTTCTAACACTATCATCTTTTTATCATTTTTGTGTATTAGATCACATTAAGCTTTAATATTAAGATAACTATGATTTTCATAGGGATACCTTATATCTTGGTGACATATTTTAAATTTAGAGATATTGCTTTTTACTCTCTCTATACCTACATTTGTACAACATGATGCTTTGATAAGCATAGTGAACTGTTTGCTATAGCCAAGCAAATTAATATACCCATCATTTCTTACTTTTTTTTTTTGTTGGTAGTTAAGATCACCTAAAGTATGCTCTTCACAGATTTCCAGTACATGTTACAATATTATAAYTATAGTCTTCAAATTTTAAGTTAGACTTGGAAATGTATTTATCTACATATCTGCAATTTTGTGCCCTTGAAATATAACTCCCCATTTCCTCTCCAACCTATGCTATAAATTAACTTAGAAATCGTGTTTTTGTATGCACATGAACACATGAATGTAAYGAAATATTATTCAGTCTTAAAGAAGGAGATACTRTCACTTATGACCACCTGGATGAACCTGTAGGACATTCTAAGAAATTAAATAAGTCGGAGAGAGAAAAGTAGATACTGTATGACTTCATTTACATGTACAGTCAAAAGGAAGCAAAAATTYTCAAAATTCATATTTTAGTGAACTGAATCTAGTTAACATTATTCATAGGCCTTAAATGTGTKTTKTTTTTTTCTTTTTTAACTCTAGTTAATCCAGGAGAAGCATTACCTCACATATGCAAACCTGGAGAATTTCGCTGCCAAAACAGACACTGTATCCAAGCTCGGTGGAAATGTGATGGTGATGACGACTGTTTAGACGGAAGTGATGAGGACTTGGTCAATTGCTGTATGTTCTCCATCAAATAATCTTAAAGCCACATTAAAACTGAGTCTTACTTGTGTAGATTGTCAAATCAGTTTGTGAAAATCTGAAAACATGTTTGATACAAATTGAACTGGGTTTTATTTCCTAGTCATCCTTTTGCAGAAAGGTTAGACTACAGATTGCCTCTTTTGCATATTTTTAAAAGCACTGTTTCTCTCATTTTTCCCCAGCTTCCATATTATCATTTTAGTTGCTCCAAAAGTCTTCCCCCATTTCCCTGGTTTTTGTGTTACCACACTACAATCTAGGGTTGCTATAGAAKACCTCTTTGGATCTTTGACTTTAAAACATGGAAAATCAATTTAAACACCCTTAAGACTGAATAAGTAGTACAGAAGGTCATGATCTACTCCACTGCTCCTTGGCAAAAGAAACTTGAAGAAGATCCAAAGAAATACACATGAATTTGGAACATGTTATCACCTAGCTTCACTGGTTTAGGACATGGTAGAAAACACATATGGGGCACTCAACTATAAATGAAAGATCTTATCCTCCCACCCTTTGGCTCTTTGGTTTCTATTTAAMTATTCACCATTTGCTAGAAAGAGTTTCATGTTTCCGGTACAGATTAGTACATTTCTCATAGATGTGGAAAGAAAACACTTTGAAAAGTAAATGAAATAACATTTTGAAAATACATTTGATTAGTTTGAATGTTTTTTGGGATAAATAAAATATTTTACACACAGAGAGAGATATGTTGGACAAAATTATGTATTTGATCTTTTGATTTAAACCTAGTACGTTGGTTTAAAAATATTTTTCTTTCAATTGCAGACATTTTTTTTTCAGGTTAAAATGACTGAACTAAGAGCCAATTTACAGTATCCATTGTCTTGTTTTTAAACTAAAAATATAAAAATAACATCTTAAACTGAATGCAATGGTGCAACACAGAATATTACAGCTCCTTGGAAGTTTAATCAAGAGAATTACAAATTGGAGGCCAGACTGGGCAATTTTTGTCTCAAAACAAAAATTTWAAAAGTTCTGGAAATGTAGTTTATTGTGTGAGACCCTGGGGTCAGTATCCAACACTGAAAGAAAAAAAAAAGTTTTAAAGATCCTTTATGAGAATGTACAAAATTRTTCTGGCCATCTATGTCATGCAGCCATTTGTGCTTTGGGACACAATCCCAAGAATAAGGATGTCTGAAAATATTTGCCAATTTTGTTATGTAAATATGGCCCTAATTTTTCTTGAATTCAAAACATGGATCATGACTTCAAAGTCTATAATTCTTATTTTCAACTCCACTAATATATGTTTTATAAAGTGTTCGCCTACAAATAAAGTTTTAAATACTAAATTGAAACAGTTGTYAAAAGTTTTGGAGTGAGAAAAGCATTTCATCTGAAAATAAAGACTATTTAGTCCCTAATTCTTTTACACAAATGATGTATGATTAATGACTAACTTAATTGTCTCAATTCTGTCTCACAATGTTTATTCATGGTTTTAATGAATATTTACTAGATATATGCTTCCTCTCTATTCTCACAAATCCAACGCCTGAGAAGAGCACAGATATTTCATCATAATGTTCATGTTTTATTTTATAAAGTCCCAGCTTCCATCTATGTTCCATTATTTCTTTTGTATTAGGGAAACTCATCTCTTTTATATGTACAGGGACAATGAGTTGACACTATTTACTAATAGTGTTAAAATTCTTGTTAGTCTATATTTTTTGATTATTGCTAACACTTTCTATTTCCATACGAAGCCAAGAGCTTTTCCTGGCATCCTCCGTTTCACTTATAGTTTGTACTTACTTCTATTAATGAATCTTATCTCTTCTATCACCTAAATAAATATTTTTTTATCTTTATGTCTTCTCAATTTTCATTGGCTAAATTAGGTTTTCGTTTTAGATTAACACAGCAAGTGTTGTTTTAATCCTACCACTCTTTCTCTCTTAAATAAAACTCACTTTCCACAATGCTTCCAGGATATTATTTATGAAAAGAAGTTTATAATTGGTATTTCAACCACTGTCTAACCAAGAGGATAAATTCTGTAATCCACTGACTCCCATATACTTCCTGTTATGTCTTGTATTTATATTTTTATCCTTTAGCCTCATGCTCTGCTTACCCTTTTGATACTTATCAAATTTAACAATACGTAGATCTCCAAAAACATCCTTTGTTTTTCTTTCTGACACTGTAGTCACTTTTCCATAAAGAAGRAATCCAGCATTGCTCATCATTACCTTCCTAGGGAAATCTTTTCTAACCACCAAAAAAATCTTAGTACATCCAAGTTGGAGTTCAGCATTCATTTCCTGTACATAGCTTTATTGTAGCGTTTTTTTTTTATAATTTAACTACTTTATTATAGTAGTTAAAAAAACATATTGTAAGTATATGCTTGCTTACTTGGTGCATTTAATAGTAATTTAATATCTTCCTGAGGAGACATTACATTTTAGCAGAGTAGGATTCGAAACACAGCTCCTGGCACCTGGAAGAATGAATAATTAACTGAATAAGGCAACAAATGGCTAAAGGTCTCTGGATACCACCTTTCAGTAGGACATCTTATCTGACCATTACAGTCATGCTGATCGGTACTCTATTCCTGGAGTTTCATGGATGATATTCCCATACTAAATAGGTTATTTCAGAGGATTAGTTTAGATTTTAAATACTCATAATCTCCAGCATTGAATTCTGTTATAAATTCTTCTACTCTCTATCCTTCAATGTCTCAATTACAAACTACAAACCTATGCTGAAAATTGCACTAAGGTGCAAATGCATAATCTTGAAATTTTAAAATGTAGAGCCTTCGAAATATTGGATGACTTTTATTTTTCATAGGCATCTATTTCCTCTAAAGTCCTTGTAGTGGGAAGAAAAATTTTAATTATATTCAAATGYCAGAGAATTTAAGTATGTTCTACATTTCAATTTATTTATTCTTTTACATTACACAAATAAAAAACTTTCCAAAAGGAGTTGAAATAACTTTATCATGCATACTACTTTAAAGAAAAAGTCTTCTCTCTAACTGACTAGAAATRCACACATTTGCTGTGCAACAGCATGAAAAAATGATAATATTTTTGAATTCTAAATGAAACTATTATACAAATTGATTTTATCATACAGAGGTACAACTATTGAGCATAAGGGAAATTACTTCAAAAAGAAAGTTGAAATTGCAAAACAAATATTGAAGAGCATGCCTCTTTAAATCCGGAAAAAAAAACTGATAGAAGGTTAACAGTAAGATGGCCCCCTGTTGTGTTTAGATATTGGTGGTTTAATCTTTAGCTGTTTACAGCTTCCCATGTGAGKATTGGTCTCATCCTCAGTATTTTCTGTAGTTACATGTTTATTTGTTTGTACTAGGAGACAAAAATCATGATGATCTATTTTTATTAAAATTATATAGAATCTCATTTTTAGCATCAAATCTAGGTCACAAGTGATGTATATTTTCATTTGTTTGTGTTCTTTTCAGCCCCAAGAAATATTAGATAAAACAGAATAAAATTGGGTATATTTAATAATCTAAGAAATGTTTGAGTATATGTGTGGATTAAAGAAATAATATTTTAACTATGTATAAGAAAAGTATTTGGAGACATATTTGTTATGTTTAACATTAAAACTTGATGGTTATTTTAAATGTTTTTGGTAAATATTTTGGAATTGATTCATCAGTTCTGATGAAAGATGGGTCAACAGGCTTAATGATATAGTGGGTTGTAGTGGATACAGGAGAAAGGAATACATTTCCTTTTATTTGTGAATTAGTTACATGATGTCTTTTACAAAAATATTATATTTTAACAATGCRTAGAATATTGTTATTTTCTATATAATTAGAGACAAAGATTGACAGAAGCTATAGCATTTATTGTTTAATAATATTATAATTATTGTAACATTTTATAGCTATAATTCCAGATATTTATAACTTTATCCAATTTTAARTAATTAAATTTGCTTTCCCTCTCTCCCAGTCAATCATACCTGTCCTGATGATCAATTTAAATGCCAGAATAATCGATGTATCCCCAAGAGATGGCTTTGTGATGGAGCTAATGATTGTGGGAGCAATGAGGATGAATCCAATCAAACTTGTGCAGGTAAGTGTTTGCTTGAATATGTACATAAATTACTTTCAGAATTGGTCACCATAAAAATTAAGGTCAGAACTCTGAACTAATCTGGACATTCCTAGTGCTGACAATCTGATTATGGCAGTAGTAAGTGAATTCAGAGTTTGATGCCACAAAGGCTCGGATATAAATTATCTTTATTTAATATTTGGGCATTTCTCTGCTTTCCAAAATAATTTGGCACTTCATCTATCCATATGGGTTGACTGTCAATACACTTCTTCTATGAAACCTGTCCCAACTAAATCTTTCTTGGCAAAAACGGGAAGGTGATGTTTGTCAGCATGCTGTGATACAGGCCATCTCACAGGAAGATTTCTTTTTTTTTTTTTAACATTGAAAAAAACTTATAAATTTTATTGTGTCTACTATGGAATACCTTTGTGAATAACTTTGTGTTCATAGCACATTATTTATATGAGGTAGCATTTTTTTTTGTCTTCATGAAGTCCCAAGACCACTAAGCCTATTTATATTTCCATATAATCTATTCCATTGTAATAAATCTTTGAATCCCTAGCCAGATTCTTGTTGAATGGAAATATACAGCTGGTGGTACAGGTTACAACAGTGTGCCAGAAAGGTCATTATTAGTCAGATAAGAGTTGATAAATGATACTGGCTAGCAGCAGCCTTATGCTGCTATTTAAATGATGAAGTAAAACCAGTGTGTTAGATGACACATATTGATATGATTCGTTAAAAAAACTGATTTAAATAAAAAAATTGCACATAGCAACATCAAAACACGGACCAACCCATCAACTCTTTGATTTTTTTGTCAAAACAACTCTCAATAAATAAAAATTATTATAAAATGCTCGTAAAAATTAATAGAGCAGCAGAGAAAAGACAGACATCAAGATCAATTCCTGTCTTGTCATTGCCACTGGTTTTCTTTTGGAAAAACTTGTAATTCATTGCACCTCATTTTCCTTGTGCTTTCCTRTCTGCTCTGCAAGAGTGTGAATTAACTAGAAATTGTTTCTAAAGAGCTTTTCATCATGTACAAAACAACAAGGGCAAGAGCAAAATAATCACCATTGCATAATTCTAACCTACATTGTATATTCAGCTTTTTGCATAATGACATATTTACACATGATCTWTGGGCCAAGTAGTTTCTTATTCCTTGATGTAAAACTCTATTTGACATTTGGACTAAATGAATTTCTTAATAAAATTTTTCATGTGTGTCCTATAAGATTGCTTTACAAAAAGACTTTCTTAAATTTAAGAAAAGGACCTCTAGGGATCATTAAGTCCTAGGTCCCTACATTCAAGACTATTCATTTTATAGGTCTATATAGGAGAAAGAGCTTGTCTAAAAACTTATTCTTGGGTAAGAGTTTAGGGAAAATTCATTCTGTGTTCTGTCTGTTAGATCATTGTTATGCATTCCAAACCACATAATCCTGCAGATTAGCTATAATTTTAGGTATAGTTAGTTTGACTTTGCTCAGGTTGCTCTTGTAATRTGAATATAATGTATGATAAAACATCTTTCTAAGCTCTACAATTACGATTCTTTTAAGGTTAAGATTCAATTCAAACATTATGTCTCAKTACATCCTAAACAGACAGGTCTGCTTTCATCATAAAATTGAAGACACTTGTGGCTCAATTTACAATATTKTGTCTTCTTTATTTGTAATACATTTATAAAGATTTTGCTTTTTTCTACATGATTTTTAAAGGAYGATTTGTGTTTAGTTAGCTATTTATAGTGGTAAAAGAGGAAATGCTCATGTACAAGAAAAARTGGAATGATCAGTCCTAATTAGTAAGCTATCTTAGACACTCAAGTCCTGTGGTTCACTAAGAAACAGAACACAACTTGCTTAAGTGCCTCTTCTGGGGATGCCACTGGAAGTCTGCACTCAGTACTAGATCTTCTTTTCTGTATGTTTATGACACCTCTTATGATCACTGGATACCATTGAACTTGAGTAAGAACAGAGAAAAAATAAATATTCCTTTTATCATTGAAAACTACAAAGCRTGTGGTTATGTTTCAAAGTATTTTCCAGTTCATTTTACCAAAATAAATAATTGACAAAACTCACCACACTAGAAAAGGTAGTTAATCCACATGCACATTTTCCATGGATCATCTCTCTTTTCCTAAATMAAAATGCATACATGGACATGTTTCCAAGATAGAAAAAAAAAATTAAAGTAGAGGATCATACTGTATTTGAATTGACTGTTCTATGTTCATTTACATCCCCACCATTTTATATCTAAAAGAAAATCCTTTCCCATGTGATGCTAATTTCCTTTGTCGTCATTCTATTAATGCTTAGTATTTGTCAAGGTACTGGTGATAGAATAAGTAAAAATACATAATGCCATTCATTAAGAGGTTAAGAGTGAAAGACATGTCAATAGGACATTCTAATGCAATAGTCAAAGTGCTAAGTGGAACCACATTTCAACACATAGGAAGAATAGAGATGAGTCACTGGCTATCTGCAAAGACTTCCTGAAGGAGGCAGTGTCTGTACTGAACCTTTAAATGTAAGTGGACTGAGGATGTGGCTCAGTAGAAGTGTGTTTACCTATACTGAACCTTTAAATGTAAGTGGACTGAGGATGTGGCTCAGTAGAAGTGTGTTTACCTAGCGTGAAAAGCCCTTGGTTCTGCAAATGAATGAATGAATGAATAAATAAATAAATAAATAAATAAATAAATAAATAGATAAATAAAAACATATAAGATAAATTACTAAGCAATAGTCAAAGCCATTTAATTAGGATAAATAAATAATTTGATAAAACTAATGGTAGTTATGTTAGGAAAATGAACTAACATATCCTCTTGGTGGGTGTATAAATTAACTTTTCACATCAGAATGTAATTTGGCTAAATCCAGTGCATGTAAAGACTCTTACATCTTCAACTCTAAGTCCATTTCTAGGCTTATACTCTAGYTAATACCTATTCACAAGGAGACACAAGTAAAATATGCATTGTCCTGGTAGTACTACTAATAAAATTCAAATATCTATGAATAGAAGAATGGATAAATATATGTATTATATTTGCATAATATATTGCTAGTGAAATGAATGAGCTAGTATAAAATATCAATAAGAATGAATTTCAAACAGAAAGTTAAGAAAAGAGAGTTGAAGAATATAAACAATAATATTTATATGAAGCATAAAACTGTAGACAATTGTATATAATGGTATAATACATTTTTTTCTTAAATAAAACTAGAAAAAAATTCTGTAGCAAATAGAGAAAATATATTGGCAATAGATATATGACTGTAAGTAGTGTTAATGATGTTATTTTCTATAAGTCTCTAGGTGAAAGAATTATTTCACTGGAACAAAAARTAGACCAATTTAGCAGCATGTATTACTCTGAGTAGAATGGAATGAATAATGAGAGAGAGAGAGGCTTGRAGAATGTACCCAGAAAAGGAAACAGTGCAAACACAGGGGACCAGAGAGTCAGGATCTGTGTAGCTGTTGTCTCCTACCACAGAGTTCTGATTATACTATATAATATTTATTCTCACATCCTCCCCCCTAATTTGACTAAATTCAAACTAGACAGGTATAATTATATTAGAATAAACTAGTGTGTTAAAAATCAGACTTTTTTTGCAAGATAAAGTGTAGACTGCATTTTGATATAACTTGATGACTTTTCCTTCAATTGGATGTCTTGATCAAAATGCAACAAAGGTAAAGTTTATAAATAGCATGTTTTGCTATGTCCTCCCCCTGTATCATTTGTTGTGCACTGTGGGAACTCTCACTACTGTGTGACCACAGGAGAAGCATGGTTATTGATCATTAGAAATATCCACATTGTGACAGTGAATCTTTGATTCTAGTGCTGGATAAACAATTCTCTTGTAGGAGGTGTAAATTTTCTTTTCCTCAGATCAGCACTTGCTATAAAATTAGAGTCCTCCAAGGCTACTCTTTTGATCTAACATCTAAACTAATTAGATCTRATGGAGATAAAAAACTGTAGAAGCTGTATATCCTTCCTACAAATCCATTGATTCAAAAGTGGTAATTCAGTCAATCTGGTTATATCATGTAGACAAGTACTTGGAGATTTGTAGAATGAACACTGTTCTCATCTGAAGCCAGTTAAATTTTCCTGATAGACCAAACAAATACTTTCCTCCAAGATTAGAACAGATAGTGAATTCATATACTTTTTGTGCACAACATTTCTCCATAATAACATAGTGATCTCTCTGGAATTATAGATCATAGCAGTTCTTCCAGCATTAGCATTTTAACTCCCACACTATCACAATGACAATTCATACACTATATGGCATAGGTTCTTGAATTTCTTTGCATTTTTGTCTCTAATCATCATAGCTCTCCAAATAAAAGGAAACAGTAAGAAATTTTTGCTAGGGCCAAACTGGAATTATTGGGAGAGAATACACTGACATAAAAATATCAAGTAAAAGAATATTGCATTAGACAAATTTAATTTTACTTGAAATATCCTCTCATTAAACTTCTCTTAAAACTCAAAACATAAAAAGTATTTACCATAGTCAAAGAAACAATACAGAGGAATGTGAAGAAAAAGGTATCAATTTCTCCCCATTTCTATTTCTACCCCTTCCTAAATTCATGCCAATACYTTGTGTGTATTCCTCTACATCTTTACTAAGTTTGCACAGATGCATAGATTTCCCCAAGTAGACATAATTAAATAGAAATTACCTGAAGATATTATTATTTTTATTCCAAGTGGGGGTTAATTTAGTAAAAATTCTGTTAAATTAGCTAAATGATCCAACATAGAAATTTTTACTTCTACATGAAATTTTTATTTTGTAAACTCTGAAGTATAMATTTTTTTCCTAGAAAACTTAAAAATTGTTGATTTAGAATAAATGATCAATTTGCATAAATGGAAAAAACATCAGACATTGCATAAAATATTTTAGATTCAATGCTCTTATCCTTGTAAAGCAAAATATGTGATAATGATCTTAATATATCTCATTGTGGTCACTATAATTAGAAACAGTATATTCAATCCAATATATCAAATCAACTAACAAAATTTTGAATGGTCTTTAAAATATTCAACAATAAYTGATAAACATCTTTATATTTCATGTACACTTTTCTATGTATATGTCTTCTAATATCTTATTTCTACTGACCTCTGAAACTCTGATTTATGGATGCTTGGTTGACTTCTGTTTGAACTACTCCCTTCACCAAGCATCAGTACTCAAGTTCACAAGATGGTTTGATGTAACAGAGACACATCATTATGATTTTGCAAGCCCAGAAACAAGAGGAAGTGTTTACTTTATGCTAGAACCTTCTCTACAATTTCATAAACCCAGAATCCAGTGTTCCTCATCCACTCATACTTCACCTAATCAAAATACTCACAGATCTCAGTATCTTCTTCCAAACATATTTCATTTTTTTCCCTAGTCTAATGAAAGGAAAGTGTGGACGGGTTACAGACACTCATGAAGACGGATTAGTCGTTCAGAGGATGAAGAAAGGAAAGAAAAAAAGAAAATMAAACATTAAAAAAACGAAGTGTATAACAACCAAAGGCCTGGGGAAAGAGGCAGAGAAGCTATCTAGGCTTTCATGCTTTCAAAAGTTGACCTGATTGTAATAGAAAAGGGCAATAAAATTCCCTGTAGAACATAACCCATTTACTGAATAATTTTAAACCACTGCCTTTGGCTAACATAGAAAGCAAGGTTCCATATTTGTGTTCATTGAAACCCTTAAGGGAGCCCAAAGCAAAGTTCATTAGTATACTTTGATTAAAAGCCATACATTTATTTATACAACTGTGCAAAAAGTGAACTTTAGAAAAATGTCTTAAGGCTAAATGCATGTTTTCGGAATGCTTTTTGTATTCTCACACCACACAGTGGACCATTTTGAGATTAAGAAGTGACTGCATTTAAAATGTTAGAGGAAAAGGAGAATTCTGACTCCTTGATTAGGAACTAGATATCCTGAGAAAGTCTCTCAAGGCTTCCTCTTACCTTACAGCAAAAGTAATCTTGGCTTTTGGCAAATACTGTWCGAAGTTCTTTTTTATTAATCAAAAACTGGATGAAATTTAATTCGATGATATATTCATAAGCATGTGCCAGGCAAAATTTTAAAAATAATGATTTCATAGCTTCATTTGTGGAATTGTGTGAGAAATATTGAATATCTTGTTACTTAACAGTCATTTTAATTAAAGACCAAACGTGTGAGCTTTAGAGAAGACAAGCAGGCTGGTATTGTGAAACATTAAATAAAAATTTACATTTTGAATAATTTTATCTTAATAGAGAAACATGTCTTTGGTGTAAAAGAARTGCTGCATACTCTTATTATATGCTCACTGGTTCAAAATTCCTCTAAATTTAGTCTTTGTGTATTAATTGATCATAACAGCCAGAACATGCCAGGCAGACCAATTTTCTTGTGGAAATGGACGATGTATTCTCAGAGCATGGCTATGTGACAGAGAAGATGACTGTGGTGACCAGACAGATGAAATGGCATCCTGTGGTAAGTTGTGAATGAAATATCCTCTTAGTAGAGATCTTGTCAGATAGAACATTCTATCACTGTAATCCCCTTAAAAGGCTATTTCTTTATAAATACAAGTCAACAAGGCAGAGATATGTTACTTTATTATAGCCCTTCAGATATGAATATGTACTTCAATGACAGCTTTAGGATATAACCATTCATGAAGCAGTAACAATATCCTCTGCTGAAACAAATGATCCAAACACTACAGCGTCTATTCAGAGGTAGTTATATAAGGCTAACAAGATATTCTTAAGTGTTTGCTATTAATCTTATGCCTATAATGATAAAACTTGTCAAAACAATGCAACGGTTAACACTGGAGTAAATGAGGTAAACGTGTTTCTGATTGGCATGTGTGTGTTATATTCTCAGAGCAAAAAACAATCTAGACTGAGATTCCAGAGTTGGTAAATCAATTTTTGCTTTTCCATAGTCATGTGATTCTGACTGACAAAGATCATGATCGGTTTAAGATAACATGTTTGTTGATGGCAAAACTCCCARTCACTTCCCACTGATTCTCTGACTCCTGAAAATAGTAAAAATTTATTATTGTATGAAGGTACAAATTTCATTATCCTCCCTTTGTACTTAAGTTTCCATATGTGTTATTATCATTTTCTCAATAACATATACTCAAACATAGTATGGAAATTAAACAATATTTGTAAGATGTACTTTTTTTAGTCATGGCAATGGATTTTAAAAATTACTCTTAAAAATGTTATCCATAAATGAGAGGTATAGAGCACACATTAAAATATAATGCAATTAGAGATGTGGTTTAATCGTAGATCAAACCTGGATTTGATCACCAGYAAGGAAAAAAATAAATAATAATAATGGTAACTCAATTGAGTATACATTTTAATAATTAATCCTGTTATAGTACTATTCACAGTAAGAAATAAGATCTTTTAAGCCCCCTTTTTAAATGTTATTATTTAGAAGATGTATTCTCTCTTTACATATTTAAAATTTTTCTTAAACTCAACTACTAAGTCACTGTGAACATTTTTAACTAATAACCTCTGAAAAATGAATAAAGTATAGATAAAATAGTGTTAAATGATATGGTAAGGAAAAAAAGTGGTGTAAAGAAAGCAATAGAAAAATCACACAATAAACACTTAAGTGTACATTTGACATGTAAATTATCAAGCCTGGTCAATAAAGAGTTGAGAAGTATAATCTCCTTTCCAATGTCCACACGAATGTTGTGGTCCAAAAGTTAGCTGGCTGGATTAGGCTGCTGTATTTTTTTTTTTTTTTCAGAAACTTGATTCCCTTCCTATTTTGAGCATGTGCATCAAGGGTATACCAGAAAGATAATGAACAACCAACAACCTCTAAACCCTATAAACATTAAATAAATACAGAGAAGTCTTAATCAGAGTCCCAATTCAGATGAGTAATGACATGAAAACAATATAAAGCAGAAAAATAAAGTATGAACTCATTAAGTGCTTCTAATTTGTCTTTGACCCTACTTCATTTTATTTTTTAAATTTCATTGTAGTAAGTCTAGGGAAAGGCATCTTTCTTAGTCTAATGATAATTTATTTGAATCAAAGAAGGGGGAAAATACCTTAAACTTTGGATATTCTAAGAAATTATACTAATGAACATTTACATTTCATGAAACGAGGGGAGGAAATGTTACCAGAGACATATTTTTTGTATTGAATCTTACAACAAGTCTAGKAAAAACTTTACTATGTTTTAGAAATAAAATTATTGAAACTTAGGGACTTTTAGAAAACTACTTAAAATCAGACTGATTTTTTTTATTGATTTAAAAAAATAAATGGCAGCAGAATGCATTACAATTCTTATTACACATATACAGCACAATTTTTCATATCTCTGGTTGTATATAAAGTATGTTGACACCAATTTGTGTCTCCATACATGTACTTTGGATAATGATGTCTATCACATTCCATCATCCTTGCTAATCCCCTGTCCCCTCCCTTACCCTCCCACCCKTCTGTCCTATCTAGATTTCATCTCTTTCTTTCTTTCTTCCCCTCTCTACACCACTATGAGTCAGCCTCCTTATATCAGAGAAGACATTTGACATTCGTTTTTTGGGGGATTGGCTAACTTCACTTAGCATTATGTTCTCCAAACACTATCCATTTATCTGCAAATACCATAATTTTGTTCTCTTTTATTGCTGAGTAAAATTCCATTGTGTATAAATGCCACGTTTTTTTTTTTTTTTTTTTTATCCATCCATCCACTGAAGGGCATCTAGGTTGGCTCCATAGTTTAGCTTTTGTGAATTGTGCTGCTATAAACATTCATGTGGCTGTGTCCCTATAGAAACTATTTTTAACTCTTTTAGGTATAGACCATGGAGTGGGATAGCTGGGTCAAATTGTRGTTCCATTCCCAGATTTCCAAGGAATTTCCATACTGCTTTCCAGGCTAGTCTAGGAATCCAAGTATGCTTGAAATTAAAATCCGATCATTTCATGTTGATTTTGTTTTGACATCCACTGATTGGGTCAATCAGTGGGCATTCAATGCCAATATATCTGCATGAATATCTTATTTAATTGTATATACTCCTATAATGGACCTTATTCATTAATGTGTTGATAAATGTTTTAGTACTTCCTGGTGGGAGGAACTCTGAGAGTGTTTGCATATTTGGGACCATAAATACACCTATCATGGCCTATATCCAGTTGTGAACAAAACTCTCTAAACGTGAAATTGGGGAAAATATATGAATCTTTACTATATGAATGTATTAGACTAAAATTTCTTTACAAGCCATTAGTAAATTTATTCAGATATTATGAATCTTGAGTATTTATTTTCTTTGTTTTAAACATTATTCCATTTTAAATTTATGACAATTTTGTTTTGAATAATATTATGTGCTTAAAAACTAACTCATATAATCTCTGAAAATTCACARATCAGCTCTCACATGCTGGTAGAGATCACCAACACACAATCAAGTATGACACATTGTGACAATTTAGCTGCTAAATATTTTGGTTCTGAATCATTGACACATTTTACAGAGTGTCAGTCAACCACCTGCAGGGGTTAGTCATAGTACCATTCCTCTTTTACAATGCAAGAAATGTCCAAATGTGTTCCCCTCTTTAATAACATACATTCACCTTTCACATTGTCATTTTAAATGAAAATTTACATAGGRACAGAAGCTGACAGAAAAACTCTAGTAGGCATAATGTCACTTTTAATGTTGTAAAAGAGAATAGATTTCTCTAATAGAAATTATCACTGCACTATATACAAAAATGATAAAGACTGCAGGCTTTTTTTAATGTTACCATATCTGATGCTAGTTTATAAATGTATGTGGGTTCTACTAGTTCCCCATTATATTAAGCATTATTGTAACATTTGAACTGACATATTTTATTTCGCTATTGAAATAGGCCAGATTYCCTAAGATTTATTTCTACCAAAAGATTCTGTAATCACTTTTTTTTCCCATAGTTCAGCTCTCTGAACAATCTTTGTTAAATTTAATAGGTAGCCATTTACATGGAGAATAATATTAAAATTTAGATTTAAAAACATGCAAAACCTATGATTAGAAATGTTCCTGATAGAAATGAAGATACAATTCAGGGTCAAATTTTCAGTGGAATCCACTAATACCTATTTATAACCCTTTCTCATTTTATTTGCATTTACCTTTATAAGTTAATTGCACATTTTAGACTTACAYTATATGTGAGCAAACAGTTACATAATTAGGAAGGCCCTCTGAGGATTCAGCCTTGATCTTTAAGTGATCATTTAACTTTTTCAGTAGTTGTTTCATGTATAAAGGAGACATTATAAGAACAATTGTGAAGCCTATGGTAAAAGATGACCTTGTATCAACTAWATGAATGGACAATCTCATTTCAGGAATAAGACTAGTATTGGTTTTCAACTTTAGCTCTCTAAGAAAAGATGATGAGGAGAAATTTAAAATAACCTGCCCATACCTCATTCCAGGCTAATTAAATRAAATTCTCTAGGAGAAAGTCCTAAGAATGAGTGTTTTTAATGCATTCCAGTGGTATGAATGTGCACTCCAGATCAAGAAACATTAAATAGTTATTCTAAAACTTGAGCATACATTGGAGAGGGCCTCTAGAAGACTTGCTAATAGAACAGATTGTTACACCCCTTCCCAGAGTCCTGATCCAGTGAATCCTCAGGTGGACCCTAAGAATTTACAATTCTAACAACATCCAGTGGACACTGATGTTTATACTACTAGCCCAAAGATTGTACTTTAAGGACCACTGTTATGCATATTTGTTTTTTATTTTACATGTACTTAATGAAAATTATGTTCATATATATAAAAATAATTTAAGATGGAAGAAGCAATTATTTACACAAATTATCTTCTCATTTCCAAATTACAAAATTAAATATAAGSTTAATTTATGAGTAAACATAAGAATGTTTCAAAGACTCATTTTGTCCTTTAAAAAATTTATAAGCCAAAACAATATCATCATTTATTTTAAACTTTTGCATAACAATACATGGCTTGTTCTAGCTTTTAAAAATCTCAATATAGCTTATGTTTATTATGTTTTTACAAGTATGCTTTAATAAAAATTGGTAATGTTCAATTTGTTCAAAGGTTTAAATGTCAGTAATTACCTAAAGTTTATTAACAGATATGAAGGATGATTCAAGAGAGTAGAAATAAAAATCCACTAGGGTTTTCAAAGTTAACATTACATAGCCCACAATGGATGTTGGGCATTTTAGATCTTGAAAATAGAATTCTGTTTCTTATACATATAATCTTGCTTCTAAGTGTGCTCCACACAATTGGGAAGCAAAGAATATAAGAAAGAAAATTTTCAAGTACCAGACATGAAGAYAAGAGAGAAGKAAAAGAGAGAAAAGGAGAGGAGATGTATATATACACTAGAAATTGTTATCAGGTTAAATCAATGCAAATATCTAGG